AACAGTGTAAAAACTCATGCAACGCTAATTTGAGAGGAGCAAGTTTCATTTGCAGATCGTAGATGCACTGATCGTAGGTTCATTATGTCAAATGTGCGAACATCACGTGTAATGCAAGCCAACAATCGTTGTTTCTAAATACTAGGCTTGCTGTGGATTCATTGGACAGAGTTGAGTTCTGAAATTCTTTTGGAAGGAAATGTACCTGAGAAACTTGTTAGATTTTTATAGACGCTATACAACAACTTTAGTAGAGGTAGGGCATACAAAATAACATTAGGGTTGAGTAGGATTGTTTGATTTCGCTACTCTTCTTTAAACTAGTCATCAGTGACGTATCTAAGAGAACCCTGAAGGAGCTACGCGGCGGTGATATGTATTTGCTGCCAGATGAACGACGTTTCGACCATGAGTTTGAGAATGATAATGTTTAATTATGCAACAACCCACAAGCAACTCAAATCCCAATCAGTGTTTATCAACAGGGTATAGGGTATTGAACCATCGAAGTATAAACGGTTTCTACGAGTGTGGCAGGAGTCTCTAACAGCACTCACTTTTGGCAGCTGACCGTTGAAGACAGTCTCAAAGTTCATGAACTTAGATAGCTCTGTGAGTAATTGTGTGGCTGATGCAATTTGCAACCGCATATCAGAAGCCACACCCTGATCTGCATAACCAACGCCATCGTGACGTTAACGTGGCTGTAAAAGGCTGTTTACAATGCATATGTACGGACAGTAAAACTGTACACCTGAGAAATCTGTATTCGCCTAGTTGAGGATTTCCTAACGCGGGATGTTTGATTATAGCTACATTCACAGGATTGCTAGTATTCGATGAAAATGTCATGTAGGTGATTCCGGGTTGAGGTGGTATATCTTTGGCCATGATGTGAATCGCTGTTCACTGAGTGAAGTCACCTCGAAGCACTGAGTTCAGTGGATCAGATATGGACAAATTTCATCTCAGGCTCCAATGCGGTTCATTGTTTGTTCGCGTTAGGACTGGCTGAAAATTACGGATTTCTAGTCAGAGTAACGTGGCAATATGGAATGACAGATAATTGTGCTACATTAGCATCAGTAAGTGCATCGAAACTCCTTAGAAGTAATTCCAGCGATCACCTAACTTAGTGGGTTGACGATAGTGCATACGGCTTAGAATCGAAACAAGTAGTGGTCATGCTACGAAGTTCTTATTTATTCTAAAGAATCTAAAGTAGTTTACTTTCCAATGACCCATTTTTAGCTTTGCTTCTCTTTGATTTTTTTGCCTTTTTTGTCGCTCCCGTGTTTCTTTATTGTTGTTGTGTTATCTTATATGGTGTCTCTTGCTGTCCATGAATTGTTTGTACTTGCGAATGAATTAACAAATGTAAGAAGAAACTCTGTTTACTCTCCACACAAAAATATTGGGATGGTTTTCTTCCTACACTAACTACTCTAACCAGTGAAAGGATGAATACCTAATGCAACTTTTATGACAACAGTAGTAACTTAATACATACTTCGTAGATACTAGCTTAAACAGGTAGTTAACCTAGCGGGATAATAATAGTATCAGAAACATTAGACTTTTTGGTGAAATGGATCACCGGGATGACGGGTTTTGCAACTGTTATTGACATCTGACTATTGGTTTCATAATAATTATTATACTTGTCTATTTTTATCCTAAGTCATTCCCAAGTAAAGCCGAGATATTTCAAAAGGTTGACTAAAGTTATCAGAATCCTGACAAGAAACCCATAATTCTAAACAGCAAATATAGTATCAATCAGTTAATAAAAAATATCGGACCAGGCATGACCTGATATTTCCCTAAGTTTTGGCTAGTGAGACTGCTATCGGATTTGATGGGGTTTGTGGACATTGAGTGCTTCAGTGGGTAGTTTGGAACCGGGTTTCGGTTGCTTTGGGTTACTTTTCTTTTTACTGGAGTCATCGTTCGAGCCACAGAGCTGAAGGTAGTAAACTATGACGCATGATTAGTCACACTGAGGCGTGGTTGCAGATTTCATTTTAACACAATGTGTTTTGGTGATCATCTGAGTCTTGGTTTTCGAAATAAGTGTCAGGGCTACTAGCTCTTCTCGATTACCGGCATGTTAAAAGGTGGCTTCTTTTGGATGTGTAATTTTTTATAACTTATTTTAGTGCACACCTGAAGGGAAGTTTGTTTGAGTGACCACACACGACTTTATTGAAAGTTTTTGGTTTAGGTTTGATTGTATTGCGCTCGGGTTAATAAAACCCAAACCAGAGGATCTTAGATTGGGGATGAGTATGGTATTTTCCATATCTGACCGACAAACACTGTCTGATAGAATCAACGTAGAACTTCGTTCACAGGTTCATGGGCTCAAGTTGCCATACTTCACAGTAGTGCACAAAGAACAGGTGGATAGAAAGGGAGTGATATCAAAATCGACAAAGTTGTATGACAATAAACAATCTGAAGATAATTTTTATTTCTATTAATCAAGCTTAGAAGATGTCAAGGAGTGAATACATTTGCGCCATTGTGACTCATTTTCACTCATGCAACTAAGGGTCCTTAATCACGGATTTCTTTCTTCTTGGGGACCCCAACCGGGTAATCAACATCTTCGTGCACGTCTCAGGCCAACAGTAAGAGACTTCATCGACTGCTGCCATGTCTTGATCTGGCCACACTGAACCCTCTTCCAACCTAATTCAATATTCCCTATCATGGCACGTCAAGGTAGATGGTGACTCAGCATGGGCAGTACATGTCAAAGCCATCTCAGCCGAAGAAGGTTCACAACCTCATCAATTAACCTGTTTGTCGTGCTCAGTATCCTTTACCTGACCTCAACATTGCTCACGCAATGGTTTCACCAAACGCGAGAAATGCTACGAAGACATCTGGAATCGAAACCCTGTTGTCGCTTGATATCTTCCATTTTTGACGGCCATGTCTCACAGCTGTACAACAGGACAGAGCGAACTGCAGTGCAGTATTCTCTTCCTTTGATAGATGGTCGGATATCTTGTCAGTGGGTGCCATAGATGACGCCAGTTGGTAAGTGTCAAACGGACCTTCTATATTCGAGGTGAGTTGGAGATCCTACCTCCCATCCAGGTAGTGGAACAATAACTGAAAGTCAGCCGGACTGTTGTTCGAATTGTTTTCATACATTCCCCCTAATGTCCCAGTCGTACGCCCTGTGTAGACGTGCGCATGCACGAATTAATTCGTGGTGGCTGTCAAAACATGTTATCCAGGAGTGGAAATCTTCCACCAATACCCAATAGGGATATGATTTGCCTGTATCCACCATTGAGGTCGGTGGACATATCAGATAATGTCCTTCTTAACGTGGAGTTTGTAGTGACCATAAATAAATGCTTGTCTGAGCGCAGTTGTAGCAAGCGATCACCATAATCCATTCGTTCTGCTGGTATTAAAAGTGCCACTTAAGTGCTATTCCGTTTGACTTAGCCTGAATGTTTGTCTACTAAGAAGACCACATCGTGGAGTTTAGCTTTCAGTTGAATATTATAGTTTGGTAGAATGTATCTATGACTTCAACCGAACTGTAATCAGTCAGTACACAGATTTTGTGACACGGTATATATATATATATATATATATATATATGTTTTACTTTATGACTGATCAATACAAAGGGAAAGTGAACCAGTAAGGTACTGAGTGTTATTCAATAAAAGGGTCTTACTGCTGTTACACTCTTGTTTAGCCAGCAGTATTTCTTCACCTCAAGAACCCTATCACAGCGTAGTCACAAAGGCAATTGTTTTTTGTCTTATCCCTCTCCAAAACATTTTCCAGCATGATAAGACCATGAGGGAAAAGTGTTCCATTAGTACAGCTCAGGATATTGTGAAGCACAGGCCCGATCACCATATCAAGATAGTAGCTGTTGGTCGACTAAATATGACACACCTAGCTTGTGATAGCCACCGTTATTTATGGCAGCTTGACCTATGTAACCTGCGAAGTCTCCAAGTATGTTAAGTGTGATGATTTTTCTGAGTCCTCCTGTAGTCGAGATGAAGACCAACTTTGTTTCACTCTGTGGTGAAAAAATGTAGAGACCTTGTGATGCTTTGGCGGATCCAGTCTACCTTACCAACTGACTCACATTTCAAGTACGTAGTTGACAAAAGTAATATTTCATAAGTCAAACCAGCCATACTGAGTGGTTTTGTATTAAGGAAGTACATGATAAGATTTAGTGTCAGTAGTATCATAACATGTTACCTTTTTATATTAATAAAATGTTTCATATTTTCGCCAAAAATACGGTATGAATTGAAATTAGATACTTCACAGTAGATTAATTGTGATATCACCTGTAAACTTGATTTTACTTTATCACTCAAATACGACTATTACGAAGGAGAAACTGCCAAATACTTCGGGCAGTGATTCAACAAGGCGAAAATTTGAAGAACTATCACATCCCTTCAAGATAAGCGTAATCCACGCACCAAAGTTCTCTCGTTTATTTGATGCTGCTCTGTTGAGGGCTATTCCCTTTATAAAAATACCAAAATATATTCAAGAAGTTGGGATTTTTTCAATAACTGAGAAAAATCGGCAAATTTTAAGTTTGCTAAAGATCCCGGGAAAAAATTAGTCAACTAAATGTGACGATTTACATTTAACGACGTCACATCAGCAAGCTGATACGATTCCAAAGCGCCCTTCAATAGTATTTAAAAATGTGATTCCACACCAAAAAATTAGTTGCTGGATTCCGCTAGACATTCAACAGAACTAGATAACTGGTTTAAAAGGAATGGATGATACGAACTTAACAAAATATGAAACATTATGCTGTTTGTGGTTTCATGTGGATTATGTCGGTGGTTTGCATTGAAACGAAAACTGGGTTTTGTTTTTCCGTACGAATAATTTCGTCCTTAACAAAAACAATTCATCGTAAAATGACTAGATACAGACAAAAACATTTTCAATAGACTCTACATGATTTTATGAAAGCATACCTCCCAGTTCGGTCGCATGCAATTGATGTGATGGCTGTGGGGTGTGTGAGCACTTTGACAACATATGACTTCTCAGAGGGAATCCACATTGATACAACCCCGTCGTTGTGTCCAGTGCAAATAACACCATTGGAAGGATTTTGGCACATTACACCAAGGCGACCCATGTACGTAGGTATCGAGGCCACTACTGAACCAACAGAACAGTCTAAGTAATAGAGAAATCCATTATCAGACTGAAATAAACGCTGAATTCAAAAACCCACAGAGGAAACAAGGAGAAAGTGGTACGGTAGGAATTCCATCCTCAAAATTCCATTCAGCTTCTTCAAACAATGTACTTCCAAACCTTGGTTGTCATACAGTGTGACATAGTTTTCCTCTGCTACAGCAATAAATGTTTCCTGGTGAAGGAACCTAGCAGTGTAAGAATGGAATAACTTACTTAACATCCTTGCACTTATTGGCAACATTAATTTCAAATAATGGTCTTTTTATCATCCAGTCAAATGCCGCAATATGGCCTGACTTTCCGCACAGTGCTAAGAACCTGAAGATTTTATTTAGCTGCCTGATATGCGAAATTACCTCCCGTTTCGTGAATAATCGAGTGCATACGGTCCATATTGCAGTTTAATGTCGAAACGCTAATTTGTTTATTTCACATGTATAACTCATATCCTACCTTAGTCGCAGATCCAATGTCTACTTCCTTTAAAATATCATCCTGCGTAATCTTCTCATCATCATCCTTTTCGACATAACTATACAGTAAGCGGAATAGCATAACGTACCCTGGTAGAACACTAGCTAGTGCGGCTACCTGTGCAACACTTTGCTTTGCATGCTTGATTTTACGGTTGAATGCTTCTGCTTTTTTTCTAAAAAAACGTTCCGGTAGTTTTTTCTGCATTTATTCATGAAAAACGAACACAAACTTACGGTTTCCATGCCGCCCTTGAGATTTGGAAAGGCCGCCTAGACTCACTCGATGGAGAAAATGACCTCTCAGTAATAGGTCTGCACCAGTTAACTTTAGCTGCCATAGAAATTTTTACCTTAAGTACTATTCCTGGGCTTTGAAGAAGTACAGTGCAGCAGTTTCAGAAAATCGTCGGCCAGGAAAACGTTTAGTATTCATGAGGCTGGAAAGAAAGGTACGATTTTTCCTAGTGTGGTGAAGCTTTTGAGATTATTTGACAGCTTATCAACACAATATCATCCGTAATATTCAAGAGTAGTTTTCAGGGCAACTTAGTAAACGATCATTATGAAATTTAGACGACCATTTCAATATCCAATATCTTTTTAACAAGCTTATGTAAACCAGTTGATTTCGTCTTGCTTGCTTCTTGGTCTTACAGAACAGTTCCAGGTCTTTGGCGGATCCCAATGCAGTACACAGCAACTCGTCTGCTATAGGTCTGATATACAGAATAGGAAGCTAAGTGCCGGTTTGTTTGCCTTGGACTGAGGTGAATGTGGATTCTTCAGATGTCGAGCTGCCAGAGAGTTGTCCGGACCGGTCGCTACAGAGGATTAATGATGGTGAAGAGAAGGCCTAGGAAGTGCTTGTACGAGTAAAAGGGGAAAAGAAAAGTGGCCTAATGGAGAAATCTACTCACACCCAAGTGAGGCGAGGAGGGGTGCAAAGGTTTGCAGAGCTTAGGTAAGTGAGGCCTACTCATGGCAAGTGGAAAAGGTGAAAATGGCTTAAATGGTCACACCAGAAAGAAAACTGGTTGTAAAGTTAAAATAGTTGGGGTGACTTGACAGCAGTTCGTGTTCCAGCTATATGTGGGTAGACCGGGGGTCTCTGCATGACTGTCTAGTCTCTTCTTGAAGCTTTCAATAGTTAGAGCGGTGACCACTCCGGCCGGTAGTGAGTTACAGTACCCACATACTTGGATGGAGAAGAACTGTGAACGCCTATGAGTATTTGACCTTTGGTGAGCTATTCTCTTAGGGTTCCCTCGAGCATCTCCATAGTGCAGATAAAAAAAAGAAATAAGAGTAACATTGGTTAGTGGTAAGATAGCAAGTGTTAGAGTTACGGGCTAAAAATGGCTGGTAGTTTTTGTAGCAATCGCTTAGACAATAAAGACACTTGATACAAAAGAAGCTGGAGAAACCAGACCATTGCAATTCCAGATCATTCTCGCACTATATCCAGTGTCACAACCAGATCAGCAGAACTGTACCACAGAGAAACCATGCAGCCTCATGTTGCTATTGTTGAAGGTTAGGGTAGTGTCATGTTAACAAACCGGGTAGAATTACAATCCCACACCTGCTGCTGACTCTCGATCAGTAAATTTTCGACTGAGATCACCGTAGTATTCTTTCATTCAAGGAGGACCAAAGCAGCTTAGTTTTTTAGGCTAGCATCAACTAACCTCTCAACCTATGGTATCTAGGGCTATGATGGCCTTGATGCCGTAGTTGACCATCATGTGGCAGATACCGGAATCCTTCACTGCACTTTACGGCTTACCTCAAGAACTCCGTTATGAGATCGACTTCCCTACCCCGTTGTGCTAGCGCTTAGCCTTATAAAACTTAGGACAAATTTGCACACATATTTTATACTACTTCATGAAAGACCGGTGAGTACGGTAAAGCAACTGCTTCCATGCGACGAGTATCGCTCCATAAGCTTCTGCCGCATTTCCCAGGTATTTTGATCTGGTATTCAGGTTTTTCTGCTGGGTGAAGACTGAGGTTACTCTCTGAACAAGATCAGGGTTACAAAGAAAATAAGGGGCCATCAGCGGCGTTGACCCGATTTTTATTTCACTGCGATAGCTCTGGCCTATCACCCTATTCATTTTAAGGACATCATTAGCGCATCATCCTTGTGGTTCGTGTTCCTATATTTTAACTCTATCATAACAGAGAACCTGTAAATGTAGACCAAACGAAGATAGATGAAGAAAGGCATGAAGACTGATGGGTTTACGATGACTTCTTAAAATATTTTACAGGACGACATCCCCAGGATGGATACACGCTGTTGATGTAAAGATAAAATTGTCACTGTGGTGCTGCACTTTGAACAATAAATGATAATGTAAGAATGTATGCAGTAACCAAGCCACAATGTAGATGCAGTCAAATCCCGAGTAATCTGATAAACTTTCCGATCATCTCAGTAGACCATGAAGACCTCAAAGCCAAGAAGAAGGGGTAATGGTATTAAACCTCGTCCAATGTCCAATGTACTACAAGCCTAAGCATTGTTACACAGTGAACCAGAACCTAGACAACCAGGCTCATAAGAAGATGTGTTCAATAGCTGCCGCAAATCTTGGACCTTGTCGAACGTAGACTGCAAAAAGTGGTTTTATTATCACCCCATAGTACACCTGCTCCAGATCTCATCTCATGGGCAGCATAGTGACTACGACCAGAACACGTGAAACAGCCAGAAGACAGGTATGCCTTCAAATCTGGCAGTTCCTATCACAGCATGTAGCTGCAACGCCAACAGTATTCCGGATGGTTCAGACGATTCCATGGAATCTACAGTTTGCTTGGAGCCAACGGTCCCATGCCAGTGGTCGCATGCTGAATATCTCACTCCATGAGAGGTATTTGGTGTCTTATCATCGCCTAGGACTAGCGGTGATGCTGCAAGGCATTATTTCCCAGTTAACAAGGTGTACGCAACAGCTTCATTAAGTTTTTGCATAACAACTACCACAGAATATAGGGACGCACACAATTTTCTTAGTTATGAATATACTTCTATGTAAACTACATGTTTTTTTAGAGCAGATGAGCCCAATCCTCACTTGTCCATTCGCCGGAAGGTATGAGTCGCATGTTATCAAAGCGAAGCATAGAGGCAAAATAAGTATGCGCATCTTTATCCGATGGAAAAATAGAAGAATTAACACTGACAAGAAAAATCGGGGTTCACACGCAAGAGTTACGTGCATAACATGGAGGAGTAATTGGTGCTTTAATCCAATGGTTTCAGTGTCAAACTTGATATACTGTATGCTGAAAACCATAAAAGTTGCTTAAGAAATATATCCGTGTTATTTGCAACCTATGTTCCTTTAAGCCTGCATAGGTTAACAGGTTCACTAGTTACTAGCCGGTCCTAAGCCCTGGTAAAGAGGGAAGGTTGGGCATAGGACTAGCAACCCTACCCCGTTAATCCAATCCAATCACTAGAGAAACTTCTAAGCACAAAGAAAATATACAAAACAAAAACAAACTTATTCCTCACAGGAATCGGAGAGATGAAATGACGCCGGTTGGTGAAAGCCTTCGGAAAGCCAGTCGGCCGATTTGTCTTCTCTCTCTTGATAAAAGCAAAAGCAAACATGGAGTCATAGTATGCCCGCAATATGTTTGAAGCTGGCTGGCAAGGCTGGCCAGATTTCAAAAGAGATGAGAAGGTATGGAATAGAACTGCTAGGAATCTGCGAGACCAGATGGAATGGAAGTGGACTCTCCAAACTGTCAACTGGGGAGTCAATAATCTAATGCGATGTTGACACCTAGATGACAACCACGAGCACACTGAGTTTTCGGGTGGCTATCATGACGTCGCCAAGAACATCGAAGGCTCTCTCTCATGCAGTGAGAACCAATCTCCTCCTGCAGGATCACAGTCATGATACCAAGATTCAACTCAAAAGGAAGGAAAGTCGCAATCATTCAATGCTACGAGCCAACAAATAATGCAGATGAAGAAAAGAAGGAGGAATTCTACAGACAATTGCAATCAGTAATGGACAAGACCCCACCCTAGTTGGCGACATCAAAATTCTAATGGGCGACATGAATGCCAAACTGGGAGCAGACAACACAGGAAGAGAACAGAACTCATCATGGATCGAGAAGCACTCGATGAAATGAATGAGAGCGGAGAACTGTTTGGAGAGTTCTGCGCATTTAACGATTTGGTGATTGGAGGCGAGGCAGTGTGTACAAACACGAGGATATTCACAAGGCAGAGACATAGATTCCACCAGGTGAACACACTAAAAATCAAATCGACTTCATCTCAATCTCAAGAAAGTGGAGACACAGTCTACTGGACACAAGATCAAGAAGGGGAGCAGAAGTAGGCTCAGACCACTGTCTAGTTCAGGGAACCTTCCAAATCGAGTTGAAGGCCTTCACAGAAGCTGGTGACAGACGACCACACTCCAAGTTCAACACCCACTCGGGACAGAAACCGGAGGACAAAACTACAAGGAACATCTTCACGTCAGCCATCAGAACAAAATGGGAGACATTGGGCAACATCCCTGAAGGAAGTTGTGTGGAAGAATACTGGAACTCCTTGAAAGGGATGTGGAAGGAAACCTGCACAACCGTATTAGGAAGGAGGAGGAAACAAGACAATTAATGGATCTCGAAGGACACATGGAAGCTGACAGGGGATGGAGAGGAAGATGGTGAAGCAGAAGATGAACTAGTGCAGTGCAAGGATGCACAACGAAAAGAAGAACTGAGCACAACGTGTAAAACTCTGGAGGAAGAAGCGGAGAAGAGTGCGTGGAAAGATAAAAGACAACTCTATGACACACTGGCAAGCAAGGCAGAGCAGGCTGTCGGTAGAAGCGACCTGACAACATTATATCAAATAACCAGGTTACCATCAGGGAGGAGAGAGATCAACGCAGACGAAACCAATGAAAGATAGTGAAGGAAAGCTGGTTACCAAAGAGGAGAAACAAAGGAAACAATGGGTTGACCACTTCAACAAAACTCCTGAATCGACCACCACCACCACCATCACCACCTGCAACTCTTCCAGAAATACCACCAGCAACGGCAGAACTACCAGTGAACACAGGCTCTCCGACAAAAACAGAATTGAAGTCCTGAATGCCATAATGTTGCCAAAATCCAGGAAATCAGCAGGACCATATGGAATTCCACCAGGAGCACTGAAAACATACGCAGCGACAACAATGGACATGCTGACATCACTACTGCTGAAGGTTTGAAAGGAGGGAAGGAAAG